AAATGTCATGTGATTTACCCAGTTGAAAGTTATTCCGGAAGAGCGTGAAACAACCCGACGATTTGATTGGTCGAAAAAGCTAAAAGAGGGAACGGAAGAACATTCGATTTAAAAATTCCTTTATATGTTAAGAGTAATAAAAAAAAACTATAACTAATTTGAATTTTTGAAATTAGTCAAAATACTCTCTAATTTCTATTAGATATTATAATAAAATCTCTTATTATTTACTTTTTTTTTAAAAAAAAGAAACAAAATAATTTATTTTTATATCTTGTATATATATATATGATATTGTATATAATTTATCGGAAGAAAATTAAATATTAATAAATAATACGATAATAATAAAAAAAAATCGATATATATATTTTCTTTTTTAAAAAAAAAAAAAAAATTTTTTTCGTTATTATCACATCATCGCAGAATGAATTCAATATCATCGATTTCTAAAAATTATATGAGATAATTTTCATTCCTAAAGTGAAAAATAGGGATTAATTATCTTAATAAGAAGTATTTCATAATCATTTCATAACCAAAAAATCCACCTTTTAAAAAGTCAATTATCTAGAAATTTCTATGCATATCACATATTTGGTCTTATAATTGTTAAATTATTATTATAATACGCCTCCCCCCGATTTGAAAAATCATATGATAAATATAATGAAAGACAATAAATTTATTATTTTAATATTGTTGATTTCATCAAATCCTGTGATTTAAGATGACAAAATTATTCTATAAAAGTATTTTTGGCTTGGGAGTGCCCGTGTTATCCGTGTAGTGCAAAATACGTATATATATGTAAATATGTACGTATTTGAAAAAATGGCGCAGCGCCAAAAATGTGTTTGATTTGAAAATGATTTACGTATCAAAAAAAAAACACTTTTTTTTCGTCGATCAACGTGTATCAAAAATAAACGATTTTCGTAATAATGTCTTACGTTTGTTCTATCATATAAGGAGAGTTTTTATTTTATTTTTCGTTATTTTATAATCAAAATAATAATCAACACTAATTCTAAATAGTTTAAGAACGATAAATTAATAATAACAAAGAATTTTTTTTGGTTTTTTTTTTATTCTTTTTTAAGTTTAGTTTAAATTAAATAATCAATAATTATAATTATTATTTTTAATCATGTTTTTTGATTTTAAACCAATTATAATCAATAATTACAATACATATTATTGGATGATTTAGAATTCGACAAAACATCTAAAAAATGTTCTAAATAAGTGTTAACACAAATGCCAATATTATCAACGAAACCTTTTCATTATAATTTTCTAAAAATAACTTTTATTATTAAAATAAACTGACCATATAATTTCACTAAAGATTAAATTCACCGGAAATTATATAATCAATAACCGACTGAATTAATAAAATAACAATTGTTAATAAATAACAATTATTAATATAACAATTATCATAAATTCACAATAATAATTATATACTACATTTAGATATAACTTCTTTTACTTACTGGAATAAACCTGAATACCTGAATTATTAATTATAATAAATAACAAATAAAAAAACTCATTATATAATTTGGATTACTTGATTACTTGATGTGACTTGATAACACAAAGAATGATTAAAAATCACCGAAATTTCTTGTTCTCCTTTCAAAGAAAGTTTCCAAGATCACAAAATTCGGATTATTTGTGAAGAATTTTCATTATCTGTAATAATAATATTGTTGATTTTAATATATAAATAGTATTTACAATATCATCTTTATTAGATTCTTAAGGGAATTTATAACATAACAATAATGATCACTATCCAATAAAAGTTTATTATTAATAAAACGCGTAAATAATTAATCTTCTTTCTGTTGGTGTTGTGTAAAAGTGAAATACCCGAGTCAAAATAGATTCTATAGATTTTAAATTAATTTCTTTTTGTGTAAGGTTTTTTCAATAAGGTGGGGAGAATAATAGATAAAGGTAAAGGGGAGAAAGCATTTATGGTTAACTAGACCGTCCCTCTTATATATTAAAAAATAACAGCACATCATAAGCTCAATAACGTGTAGTGTGTGTAGTAATTCGAGTGATTCGTGTACCGTATCGCACTGCTTGAAATACCCTCTTTGAGAGTACCAGTTCCCCCACTTAAGATACCCGTATCAATATATCAACTATAGATCCTTAAAATCAGCATATTTAATGACTATTATAAATCAAAATTTAAATTTCATATCTTCAATCCTTCTGGTACTTTCAGGGTGGAAGTTGTACTCGGTGTATTATATATATTGGTTTTAAACTAAGCATTTGCTTTTGGACTCAGGTATTTTAAGCAGTGCAATACGGCAATTCTTAGCGTTCGTCATGTGTAAATCTTATATTTCCTTTGAATAATCTGTTTCTTGTATTTGTATGGTATGATCTGATACTGTTTTCGTTGCAAGAATGAAATGAATCAATGAAACCTGACGTTTCTTTTTTTTTTCTTTGTATAGTATGTCTTACCGTCCTAATCTCTGGGACGCGGTGAATGTTGAACTCCGTTCTCTACCATATCCAAATTACCCGGGAATTAACTCTCATTAACCCAAATATTTTACCTATCAAAGCCGCTTCCTCATATCCGAAGTACTATAAGTTTATAATCCTCGATAAACGGTAGGCGAATACAATTAGATATTGACTTGCCCGAATTTTTATATATAGGATTGAATATGAAAAATCATTAGGATCACCTTATATCATGAATAATGATGGCCAAAGAATCTTAAGGAGAGATAATAATAATTCGCAATAAAGTTCAGGTTAAATCATTCCATAATATTGTTAATGGTTATGTAACAGTAGTTTAATAATTATCAGTGTAAATTGGTGGTGTTGTCTTATTATATAAATCTTAAAATAAAAAATAAAAATAGTAAAAGTTAATATATACGCATATATACACACACAGTACAGTAATTGGTGTTTAAATCTTAAAATAAAATAGTAAAAGTTATATATACGCATATATACGCTCTAATTTATTGTGAACACAGTACAGTTAGGCTAAAATGTTCCAAATGAGAAGAATGCATCAAGTTATAATAATTTAATATCCTATCAATTATCAATTATCAATACGCAATTCTTCAACAAAATCATTCCCATGAATCAAATAGTTCCTTTACGGTCATGTATTTAATAACTTAAAGGGTAGACAGAATCTAATTATTACAATATCTCCTTTTTTTTGAAAAAAAAATAAGACAAAATCATTGATTAATTGGCAGAGTTTTTTTACTTGATCTATCTCTCTTGAAAGAGTATCGATCTTAATAAAGTCGTATTATGCTTCTTTGATAACATATATTATTAATAATATCAAGAATAATCTCTTGACCCACCAAGATCAATACTAAGTTGGCTTCTCTCGTAATTAATTTATGGTTTCTATTTATATAACCTTTTTACCTCTTACATAAATTTATGGACAAATCAATCGTATATGTAATTTCAAAATAAAGGTTTACTATCTATTTTTTATTACGACCTAGTGTTTCCATGATGTAAAAAATTGATAAAAATCCGGTTTTTTCGTTAATTATAAATTAAAAAAAAAAAAATATTCAAGAAATTGGACTTCAGGAATTCATTCTGGAAATTGGCATTTTAAAAATTGAAGTTTCAGGAAATGATCCAGTTAAATGGGCATTCAGACAAAATTGACTTCAGGAAATGATATATGCATTTGGGAAAAAGGGTATATATAAAAAAAAGGGAAAAGTTCCCCTCCTCATGGAACAAGAATGAAGAAAATCACCAGTGAATAAAGTGTGATTGAAATATCAATTACTATATTATTTATTTTTTATTCTGAAAATTATAATAAAGATAATAAATAATAATTATAATAATTTTAAATCATACAAGATTTATAAAATGAAAATAACATATGATCTGAGCCCCCATTTACACATGAAGATTTGCAATTTATTACGCAAATTACGTTGGACCAAGCGTAAATTCTTAACTTGGGATTTGGGTCACATCATCAGTGTCACACTTTTTTAAGGGTGAAATTTTGGTACTTGGTAGGAATACCCCAAATAATTATTTAGAATTTAGGGAATCCTATTTCTTTATTTACCATAAATGTCATATAAATCTTTGTGAAACAAACCATTTTGGAGGACTTTTTTACCACGTTTCTTTAATATACTTGATTATACTAAAAATATTTCTTTTTATTAAAAATTAACTATATTAAGAAAATTTTTTAAAATTTAACAAAATTCAACTCATTCTAAAGACAAGTGCAAAGAAGGAATTCCAAGTTCCAACCCTTTCTTTAAATGCGTGATCAAAGATAAATTATATTTATCAACTTGCGCCCACAGTAATATCGTAAAACGTGAGATAAATTAATGGCTGAAAAGAATGAGCTCATCTATCTTTGGGATGAAATATCTAATCATCAATTTTCCCTTGTACAGCATATACTTTGTATTAAATGACAAAGAGATTTCTTTTATATGATGAAATTAAAGCATATACATATCTTTATTTAAAAAAAAAAAAAGTTTGATGGATTTGATTTGATATATGAAACTCACGAATTGAGGAAATAATCTTGAATAAGGTTCATCAATTGAAAAAGAGGGATGAAAAGGCCATAAATCGATCTTGTTAATTTATGATGAGAGAACTTTTTTATAAGTTTTAAACTTTGATTAATAAATAAACAAATACATTATTTGTGTTAGAAAGGTAACAACATCCTGCACTTTGTAAACAAACAGGTCGCCGATCCTGAACATTCGGTATCTCCTTTGACTTCTACTGCGCCCAATTATGTTACGTTTGAAAATTTTCATATGATATTTTTTAGCCATTTCATTCATAAAGAAATGACACTAAGACATAAAAGTTTTGATTAACAATGCAAGTTATAACTCATTGTGTTTGTAGTAAAAAATCATTTAATTGATAAAAATATATTGATTGCTTCATTGAACAAGGTTTTTTTTCTTTTTTAATAAAATTTGAAAGGTTATACGAATATAAAATTTACGTATAAAGATGAAATGTTGCATAAATTTGTTTCGCATTTTTTAACAAAGTGAATATAATGATTTCTGAGGTCCTTTTTAAAAAAATTTGATTATTATTTTTAACCAAGTTCAATAAAGGTAAATGATTGGCCGATTCAAAAAAATTTGTACAACCAACTTCTATATACGTTACTATTTATCAAATACAATAAATCAAATTTTGGGGTAAAAAAACTATTATTACTTTAAATCTATTTAAACCTCATTTTTATAGGGTAGATTTTATAAAAGGGGACTCGGAATTATTAATCAAATACCTTTTTTTTCAATCGATAAGCTTTTTTCCCAAAAATGGCAGACACAAATTATTTTTATGATATTGAAATTTTTTCTTTAACCTCTACGACACAAAATCCTTTACACCTACTTGCCGATGCCGCTTTTATTTCTGAAAATACTAATAACTCAAATAAATTGACTCAGCATGAAATACCTTCTCATTATACTAAATGTTCTACGAATTGTTCTGATTATAATCGAGAAATGTTTGGAAAATCAGCAACTTCAAACTATTCAACAAACTTAACTGACAATAATGAAACTATGAAACTTGAACAAAAAAAGATTAAACCAATTAAGTCAGGTCATAATACAAATATTAAAACAAACTCACAAATCAAAAGTTCAAATGATGATTGCTTAAATACTGGTAAATTTATTTTACACTTTGATAAAATTTCTTTTTAAAAAAGAATTTTTTGTTTAAAAAATTAATGTGTGATTTGTTTTGATATTATAATAATTTTATTGTTCATTTTTTAGGTTTCTCAACTTTATCTAAAAATTCATCTATCTCTGACTTAAATTTCAATTCTAATAAGCAAGATTTCAGGGTTAGGAGTCTGGCAGTAGAATTTAAATATGATAAAGAAAAAATACAATTATTGGAACCAAATTCTGTGGCTAGCAAGAATCAAGATATTAAAAATCCATTCCATTTATTCAATAATGGTAAAATTATTGAAGATATTAAAAAACCAATCTCATTATCCAGCAATGATAAATCCAAGGATGATGATATTAAAAGACCAATCTCATTAATCAGCAATGATAAATCCAAAGATGATGTTACTAAAAAACTAATCTCATTACCCAGCAATGATAAATTCAAGGATGATAAATTTAAAGATGATAAATTCAAAGATGATAAATCCAAAGATGATAAATCCAAAGATGATAATATTAAAAAACCAGTTTCATTATCCAGCAATAATAAATCTAAAGATAATAATATTAAAAAACCTATTCAATTATCTAATAAGAATTCTAGAAGAAAAATCACAAAGAAACAAAATAATGCTGAAAGAAAAAAGAAAAGAATTGTAAAAAATCATGATCCTTCACAACTAAGAATTCATGCTAAAACTTATACTACCAGATCAAATAGAATTAGTAAACCACCATCTGCATCTTCAGCAGGTGGAAGATGGACTGGATCTTAAATCTTTTCACAGTATTTTATTAAATATTTAATTTTTTTGGAAATATTTTTATTTACTGTATTTCTATAGGTATTGATTTTTAATTAATTATTTAAAAATCAACCCATTTTATATTTTTAATTTTATTTTTATTTTTATTTTTATTTTTTTTATATATAACTATATATTTTTTTATTTGTTTTTATATAGTCATCTGGTGTATATAAATTTATTTTAAATAAAAAAACAATTTTTTAATTTTATAGATTATTAATAAATTAATTCAGATATATACTTATTTTAGAAAAAAAAAGATTAGTAAATTTGAATTTATTTTATATTATATAAAAATATTTAAAATATTATTTAGCAAATTAAATGGAATTTAAAAATCAAATTAAAATTAAAAAAATATGATTTAAATTAAATTAATTAAAAAAAAAATATGATTTAAATTTTTAGCAATTTTTTATTTTATTATTTCTATTATTATTATTTTATTGATATATTTATATATTTTATTAATTACTGAAATTTTTTAAATTAAATTGTTATTTTTTTATTTATTAAATTAGAATTCTGTTCATAAATACTATTAAAAAATCTAAATTATTTATATATTACTCTTATAAAATAAAATTATATATATAATTTAAAATATAAATTTTATTAATAAAAATTTTGTTTTTTATTTTTTATTATTAAATAACTAATAATAAAAAATTTTTTGATTTTATAATTATAAAAAAAATTTATTTATTATCTAAAATGATAAATATTATTATTATATATTGCTTTAATAAAATCATTTGATTTTACAATAATATTTTATTATTGAATTCTATATAGGATTATTTAAATAAAAAATATATATTATTTATACTATTATTATCTATATATTATATATATTATATATTATTTATTAATCAAACAATTAATTATACTTTGCATTTTTCTTATTAAAATATTTAGAAACATAATATTCTAGTTTATAATATATATTACATTTATATTTTTTAGTATTTACTATTTACTTCAATATTTCATTTTTTTTTATAATTAATATTAATATGTTTTTATTCTTTTAATATCCACTTTATTTTTTCATTAAAAGTTTTTAATTGTTTATTAGAAAACCACTTTTTACTATAAATAGTACTAATGAATTTTTAATATTATTAATATACATGTTCATTTAATTATTTTATAGTAGGCAATTTCTATTTGTACACAAGGTGTTTAAACACGGGTCATATTAGTAGATTAAAAACGGCATTCAAAACCTCCTTTAATGCCTTAAGTAAACTTGCAGAGCAGGTGAAAATACATATATTTATCTGTAATATAATAAGAATAAAAAGTAAAAGAGTATAATGTCGGTAGCATTCAATTTCAAATTAAAAAACAAAAAATTAGTCTATTAAAAATTATATTTATATGACCTGTGTACAAACACCCCGTGTAAACTTAGAAATTTTCTTATAGTATTATTTAAATCAATATTTATTTTTAACATTTTTAAGTTTTTCTTCTTTTTAATTGTTAATATTATATTATATTATCAGTTATATTATGATTCTAAAAAATATAAAAAATATAAAATGTTAATAATCTATAATGAACTAATGGCAAATGTAAAATAATAAATAATAATGTTATATATAAAATATATATATTATTTTATTTATTTATTATTATTAAAATTCTTATAATTATAATTTGTTACTTATGAGATATATTTATAGGTAGATAGAATGTTATTTATTTAGTATAAATCTAATTTATTGTAATTAAATTAAATATAAAATTAATTAAATCAATATAATTATTTAAATATTTTTAATTCTATATCTAAACTAACTTTAATTTCATATTTTAATTTTAACATTATCTTAACTTTAATCTCATATCTTAATCCTAATTCTAAATTTATATTTTAAATCTAATCTAATTCTAATCCCATATAAATATACCTAATTTTTCAAAAATTAAAATATGCATTAACTAACGATTCTAAAGATTAGTTAAGTCAAGACTTTTCAACTTCATCTCAATTTTATTTTCTTTATTAAGTTCTATTTATTCTATATATTAAATATTAAATTAACTTTTATTTCTTGTTATTTTACTAAATAAAAATACATATTATATAAATTTCAAAGTTATCTTTATTTAGCAAATAAATAGATTTAACTAGTATATTTATATTTAATTAAAAAAAATTTTATAAAAAAGAGTTTTAGTATTTCTTTATTAAAAACTTTTTTTTATTTTGATAATAAGTTGTTTTATAATAAAAAATAAAAAAGAATTGTATCTTTTTGAAAATTTTTTATTTAAACTTTTGTAATATATATAATAAATGATATATTAAATAATGTACAATATTTTATTAAATTATAATATCATATAATTGTAATAATATTGCATATGTAATAAATAAATTATTTTTTATAATTAATTTTATAAAAAATATTTATATTTAAAATATACTTAAAATTTTATTAAAATATATATTATACATTTACAGTTGGTTTGTAATTTTTAAACCATATTGCAGGTATAGAATAAATAATACTATAAAAAATTCTTTAATTTTGACTGGATCATCATATAATCTTGCAATCAAATTGATCTACATTCTGGTCATAAATTATATGAGTTAGATATGTAACTGATCACTATAAAAATAATATTAAAATTTTTATACAAACTTTTTTTATCATATTTTTTCTTTATTTTGAATATTTATTATAATTTTTTATTTTCATTATAAAAATTTTGCATTATAATAAGGGAAGTTACATATATTACGTAATATTCAGTTTAATATAAACTTACTCTCCTCCCTTCCTTTATCAGATTTAATAACCAATCAAATTATAATATTTATAAATTATATATTTTATTAAGTATAACGTACGATTTTGGTTACCCCCTTCCCTCCCTTTGATAATTACGTAATATCTGTAAGCTCCCTAAATAAATTAAGAATAAAAAAATTAATTTTTATGAATATATATTTAATTCGAATACATAATAAAATTTTTATTAAAGTTCTATATAAAGTTAATTTAACATTAAAAATTATATTAATAAAAGTTATTTCTTATATCAAATTTTATATATTCTATTAAGTTTTTATATAGATACAATTAATTATTAATAAAATTATCAAAATTAAAGGTAAAGTTATTTAAAATTTTATATATAATTATTTTAAAATACAACTTTTAACTAATGGGTAGTTTTCAATTTTTTAATATATAATTAATACATGATAATAATTACTGCATAATATATAATTTAAATTATTTTGAAAAAAAATTTTATTAAAATTGCTTTATTTTTCATAAAATAAGATAAAAGCTGAATTTTTAGTAAAATTGCAAGTAAATTTGCTTGCAATTGCTTATGGTTTAAAGGATAACAAATTTTAATATAATAGATTTTAACATATAAAAAAAATCTTACTGTATCAAATTTTAAATACTTGCATTAGAGATAGTCAGTCAGTCCTGTGGTCTTTGATTGGTCCTGATCGGTCTTTAGGAAATTTTTGGAAAAGTAATAAGGCTGTGCTTCCAATTTTTTGTAGCACAACAGAACTGATTAAAGACCAAAAAGTGGTAAATTTTGGTCTCAATCTAATCACCCAATTTAGAGCTAGGCAGGTTTTTATTTTGCCAAATCCAGTATTTTTTGCTTTTTTCGGTCTTTTTCCAATTTCGCCTCTGCTGGTCTTAAAAAAAGAAGTATAAAGGCCAAATTTTGACATTTATTGGTCTTTAGCCATACTTGCTGCGCCTTAAAAATTCAAGGGTGCATTCCTTATAACTTTTCCAAAGACCGGGCAGGACCGTTCAGGACCGAAAGACTGACTGACCATCCTTAACTTGCATATTATTTAACAAAGTAAAATATATAAATAGCATATATAAAATAATTCATATTATAATGAATTTTATATTATAATGATATACTATTACTATTTTATAAAAATTTATAAATTAAACAAATTTAATTGATATAAAAAAGGAATTGGTTTAAATTTATATATAATTTTCATATGATATGAAATTATGTTATATTATAATACAATATACTGCAATATATTAAATTTTTCATCATATTATATTAGATTTTTCTATAATAATAATAAATTTTTAAGTATATATTAAGTATAAAGATTTTTCATAAAATAAATATATTTTAGAAATTAAAATTTGAACGCACCTGCATTTTGAATGCACCCCCTTTTTTGGAAATTTTTATATAATAAAAATGTTGATCATTTTATCATGTGATACTGGCGAATTTCTGATTTTTTTAAATAAATGCAATTTATACCTTATACACCTATAAATAAACTTATGTTATATGCATATTTTTGCCTCCTCTACAACTTTACTTACTATGACAAAAGGAGTTTAAAACTTTATTTTTGACTTATATCATGAGGGTGCGTTTAAATGCAGATGCGTTTAAATTTTAAACCCTATATTTTATTTATAAATAAATTTTCAAATGTATTTATATTAAAAGATTATAACTAATTTTCATTTAGAATAATTTAATAATTTTTTATTTAAGAGGAGTTACATATATTACATAATATTTAGTTTAATATAAACTTACTCCTTGTCAGATTTAATAACCAATCAAATTATAATATTTATAAATCATATAATTTTATTAAGTGTAATGTAAGATTTTAGTTACTTCCTTCCCCTTTAATAATTACGTAATATATGTAAGTTCTCTAAGGTGATTTAACTAATTTTTGAAATATTATTATAAACCTAGATAAGTTTTACTAACTTGCTTTTTAGGTTAAATAATTTAGGTTATATTACTTCCTAAAATTTATATTTTACATCAATATTTTTTTTTTAAAAAAAAAAATTAATTGTATTATTAGGGGAGTTACATATATTACGTAATATTCAGTTTAATATAAACTTACTTCCCCTCCTCCTTGTCAGATTTAATAACCAATCAAATTATAATATTTATAAATTATATATTTTATTAAGTGTAATGTAAGATTTTGGTTATTTCCCTCCCCCCTTTAATAATTACATAATATCTGTAAGCTCCCTTATTCATTTCACTTTATATAAATCTAGAGCATAATAATAAATTTTTTTATATTTTTGACAACTAATGTATTTCATTTTTTATTGTATTTATAATTTATATTTTTTAAAAAAAAAT